AAAAAAGAGAGAAAAAGAAAAAAATGATAGCCCAGAATGCCTCAAATGTTATGTTCGGGCGTCTAGAACACAACAATTTCGCGGGGGCATGCCCCAGACCCCCTACGACAGTGTTGTCTCAATCGGCGCAACTTTCGGCCCCCGCTTCCGGCCCCCCCTTTTGGACATTTCTGGATCCGCCCCTGATACAGGATGCCTCTGATGAAACGAGTGGCCGTAGCGATGTTGCAGAGATCTTGCGGATGTATGTAGTCAGGGAGTATCAACGTCGTGGATTGGGGCGTATTCTGATGGACACCGCTAGAGGATTTTGTACAGAGTGTGGCTATAGAGAAGTGACTGTTATTACCGGCACAGGATATATGAAGGCACAATCATTCTATAGAAAATATGGATATACTGAAGTAGATAGAATTCTGATGCGTGCGTGTACGGATAATTCCATTTACACCCCAAGTTCAGTTAAAATCATATATTTGTTGAAGCTAAATGAAAAATAGGCCTAGTCATTGCCATACCAATGATTAGATAATGACGTAAGATTAGTTAGGCCTACGTTATATAGGGCCTAGTCATACTTTTAAACATTGTTTAATTTCAGGTATCATCATTATGTTAATCAATTGTTTAAACCAAATAGGCCTACCCTAAGTTGAAATAGCCCGTGATCACTCTATCAAGGCCACGTCACTGACCAACCACGATCGCCGCAGGTGTGGTAGGCCTATCGTCGATACCCAGGACACCCATTTCCTAGCAAGACGGCCGCCAATTACTATCTCTCTCAACATTTTAATCGTAATTTTACAAGTCCGTTATTCGAATGTAAGAAACATTTTTCTTTAATCAGTTCCAGTTGCTTTGGTTACAAACGAAGAAAATGAAAAGCAAATGCCCATCAACCGAAACTAGTGAAGAACCTAAGAGTAGACGTGACGGACATTTCAGCCGCTCGGCTGCGGCCGGCTGCCGATCTGCGTGCCATCAGCGCCAATATATAGGCCTTAAAACCAACTAAGAAGTCTAGAAGTATAAAAAGAAACATAATTTTGCTAGAAAACCAAGTGGTCTAAGACCTATAAAATACTCAGGATGCGACCATAATTTTAATAACCATTCAATTGACAACAACAGTCCAATTTCATGGTGCCATTTTAAAGGCCCGTTTATACTTCAACGATAACGATAACAATAAAAAAAAAAAGCTAAAAAGCAATTGTTCATATAGAAAATAAAACAAATAAGAAAAGTTTTTACACTAGAAAGATTCGATAACGATTTATCAGATATGCGATAACAACATATTTTGACAAATCAAATCAGATGACGTCATAATCATGGAAAACATTAAAATCGTAGTAGTAGCAACGATTTTATCGTTTTACCATGATTATGACGTCATCTGATTTGATTTGTTAAAATATTTTGTTATCGTATACACGATAAATCGTTATCGAATCGTCCTAGTGTAAAAACTTTTCTTATTTATTTTGTTTTCTATATGAACAATCGCATATTAGCTTTTTTATCGTTATCGTTATCGTTGAAGTATAAACAGGCCTTAAAATGAGGAATATGAATTACATTTATTTTATTCAAATCATGATTATAAAAATGTTAATAGCAATGATAATGATAACAACAAAAAGTGATAATTGTATAACAATAATGATTATTTTAAAAAAACCCAATAAAATTATTATATGAAATCAAATGACTAAAATATATTTCTTATTGGAAAAATGTAGCGTACTAGATAGCACTCACCTGTCAAATAAGGTTATAGGCCTACAATTAGCGATTGTCATAAATCAATCATCAATCATTTTTTATTCTAAGCCAGGGGAGATTTAGTGGGGGGGGGGCGCGGCCCGGCCCCGGTCTCCCCTTTTGGGAGGTAAAAAAAAAGAGAAAAAGAAAGAAAAAGAAAAAAATCATATAGCCCACAACGCCTCAAATGTTATTTTCGGGCGTCTAGAACACAAAAATTTCGCGGGGGCATGCCCCCGGACCCCCTAGGACATTGTTGTCTCGATCGGCCCAAATTTCGGCCCCCCCTTTCGGCCCCCACTTTTGGAAATCTCTGGATCCGCCCCTGATATGGGGTGTTTGCCTATTATACTTTAGGTAATGGGGGTGTGTCTCAAGTAAGTCACCCCATACTTTTAGAGTTTCTGATTGGATCATAGAGAAATTCTTTCTCTATGATTTAGTAACTTGTTTA